CTAGAACTCCCAAGGTCCCATAACATTGAACCAGTCCAGCTGGGGACTTTTTGAGCGGCATTGGCATTGGGAGGAGGATACAGAGGCCTTTCCTGCTTGGCAGAATGGGGTTGGTTTGGATGGCCTTTGGGGGTCCCTTCCTACCCTAGGATTCTAGGTGCTAATAAAGAAACATTATATAGTGTGTCTATATATATATAAAACATATAATACTAATAGTATAATATACTGGTAGGGTATTGTATATATTGTGGTATAATAATATAGTACAATATAATATATAATACTAATATTGTGCTATGCTAATAATATTTAATTATATATTATATCAATATACATATAATATTGATATATTATATTATATTATGCAACATAATACTAATAATAATGAAATATATAATAGTAATAGTATAATATACTGGTAGTGTATTATATATATTGTGGTATAATAATATAGTACCATATGATAATATACTAATATTGTGCTATGCTATGCTAATAATATTTAATATTTGTATTATAATAATATTTAATTATATATTAAAATAATATTTAATTATATATTATATCAATAATATTTATTTATTAATTATTTATTTATTATTTGCATTTGTTAAGCGCCACTCTCAGCCCGGGGGCGACTCGTGGCGGTGTACAAAACATAGAACATAGAAAGACAACAGTTTACAATAAATCGAGACCATAACACAACATCTCACGAGTAACAACTAATTAAACTAAAAATCCGCTTCGTCTTGTTTGGGGTCATAAACAGTCTCATAGTCATGGTCCATTCCGGTGGTCATTCCAAAAACATAGCACTTAATTGAAGGCCTTTTCGAAGAGCCAGGTTTTCAGGCCCTTGCGGAAGGCCATGAGGGAAGGCGCCTGTCTTATTTCAGCAGGGAGGGAGTTCCATAGCCGGGGGGCCACCACCGAGAAGGCCCGCTCTCTCGTCCCCGCCAGGCGTGCCTGAGAGGCAGGCGGGACCGAGAGGAGGGCCTCCCCAGATGATCTCAAGGTCCTCGTGGGCTCGTAGGCCGAGATGCGGTTCTCAAGGTATTTTGGGCCGGAACCGTTTAGGGCTTTGTAGGCTAACACCAGCACCTTAAATTGGGCCCGGTAGCAAATCGGCAGCCAGTGGAGCTGGGACAGCAAGGGCGTTGTGTGCTCCCTGCGTCCCGCTCCGGTTAACAACATGGCTGCCGCGCGCTGGACTAGCTGGAGCTTCCGGGCCGTCTTCAAGGGCAGCCCCACGTAGAGAGCGTTGCAGTAGTCGAGGCGGGATGTGACCAAAGCGTGTACCACCGTGGCCAAGTCAGACTTCCCAAGATACGGGCGCAGCTGGCGCACGAGCCGAAGCTGTGCAAATGCTCCCCTGGTCACCGGAAACCTGGGGATCCAGGCTCAACGATGAGTCCAGGGTCACACCCAAGCTGCGAACCTGCGCTTTCAAGGGGAGTGCGACCCCGTCCAGCACAGGCTGTAACCCTATACCCTGTTCGGCCTTGCGACTGACCAGGAGTACCTCTGTCTTGTCTGGATTTAATTTCAATTTGTTCGCCCTCATCCAGACCATTACAGCGGCCAGGCACCGGTTCAGGACCTCGACAGCCTCCTTAGTAGCAGGTGGAAAGGAGTGACAGAGTTGGACATCATCTGCGTACAGGTGACACCGCACCCCGAAACTCCGGATGATCTCACCCAGCGGCTTCATGTAGATGTTAAACAGCATGGGGGACAGTATGGAGCCCTGAGGAACACCACATGTCAACGGCTGTGGTGTTGAGCAGGAGTCCCCCAACAACACCTTCTGGGTACGACCCTCCAGAAATGACTGGAGCCACCGCAAAGCGGTGCCCCCAAGACCCATCTCTGCAAGGCGTCCCAGAAGAATACCGTGGTCGACGGTATCGAAGGCCGCTGAGAGGTCCAGGAGCACCAACAGGGACACACTCCCCCTGTCTAGCTCCCGGCGCAGATCATCCACTAAGGCGACCAAGACCGTCTCTTCGGTACCATGTCCCGGTCTGAAGCCAGACTGTGCCGGATCCAGAATATCCGTGTCTCTCAAGAATACCTGGAGTTGTGAGGCCACCACGCTTTCCATGACTTTGCCCAAGAAGGGAAGATTGGAAACAGGCCGAAAGTTGTCAAATTTGGTGGGGTCCAGTGATGGTTTCTTCAACAGCGGCTTTATAATAGCCTGTTTTAGGCTCGCTGGAATCGTGCCTTCCCGAAGGGAGGCATTAACCACCACCGTTACCCACTCAGCCAATCCCCCTCTGGCCTCTTTCAGAAGCCAGGATGGGCAGGGGTCTAGGATGGACGTGGTAGGCCTCATTCCTCCAAGTATCTTGTCCACATCCTCGGGTTTCACAAACTGAAAAGAATCCATCAAAATAGGACAAGCAGGTGCTTGTGTCACATCCACAGAGACTGCATTTAATGTGGCGTCCAGCCCAGAACGGATCAAAGCGACTTTGTCTGCAAAGAACCGAGCAAATGCTTCACAGCGTGTGGCTGAGTTGTCAGGGCTCCCACCTGAAGTAGGGGGAGTTAAAAGACCTCTGACAATCCGGAACAACTCCGCCGGACGGTTTTTTGCAGACGCAATAGTGGCCGCAAAGAAAGTTTTCTTTGCGGCTTTTATTGCCGCGGCATATGCCCTTAGAAAGGACACAAACCGTGCTCGATTTGGCTCGCTTGGGTCCGAGCGCCACACGCTCTCTAGTTCCCTCTTCCTTCGCTTCATCGCTGCCAACTCCTCAGTGAACCAAGGAGATGGTTTAGCTCGGTTACTTGAGAGGGGACGTTCCGGAGCGATCATGTCAATTGCCCTGGCCATCTCCCCATTCCAGAGAGCGACCAAGGCCTCGACATGGTCACCTACCGAGGTGGCGGGAAAATCCCCAAGAGCCGTCAGGAATCCATTCGGATCCATAAGCCTCCTGGGGCGGACCATCTTAATGGGTCCTCCACCTTTGCGGAGGTTAGGGGGCGCAGTGAGCCTAAATCTGATCAGGAAATGGTCGGTCCATGGCAACGGAGAGATAGACAACTCCTCCACCCCGCCACCCTGCTCCCATCCCTGGCAGAAAACCAAGTCCAATGTGTGTCCAGCACAGTGGGTGGGGCCAGTTATTTATAATATACATATAATATAATATACATATAATATACATAATATATTATTATGATATAGTGCAACACAATACTAATTGTAATGAAATATATTATACTAATAGAAAAATATACTGGTAGTGTAGGATATAAATTGTGGTATAATAGTAAAGTACAAAATAATAATATACAATACTAATATAGTGCTATGCTAATAATATACTATATTATATATACATATGATTTATATATAATATATAATATATATTATATATATTCTATATACATATAATATTGACATTATATATTATATTTTATTATAATGTAGTGCCATATAATATAATAATGAAATATAATCTATAAAAATGATATTGTAATATAATACTGATATGTTAAATATAATACTACTGATAATATATGTATATAAACGTTAATATATATAATATACTACTATATATTATAATATATATTTAGATAGATAATATATATAGATAATATATATTTAAATGTTTTAAACAATATTGACATTATGTATTATAATATTTTATTATAATGTAGTGATATATAATAATAATAATGAAATATAATCTATAATAATGATCTTATAATATAATACTAATATGTTAAATGTAATACTACCGATAATATATATATATATATGTTAATATAATATATATATATATATATATAGATAGATAGATAATATATATAATGATTTAAATAAATAAATATAGCAATATACAATGATATTATTCTATATTTCTATATTTGGAGTTGTTATGCTTTTGATATAATAATGATATTGTAATATAATACTAATATGTGAAATATAATATTACTGATAATATATATATATATATATATATAATGTTAATATATATAATAAATAATATTAAATATTTTATATATATATATATGCTTTAAATAAATAAATATAACAATATACAATAATATTAATCTATATTTCTGTATTTGGAGTTGTTATGCTTTTGATATAATAATGATATTGTAATATAATACTAATATGTTAAATATAATACTACTGATAATATATATATATATATATATATAGTATTAAATACACTGAAATCAATCAATTCTTAAAGATTGATTGATTATATATATATGTTAAATATAATACTACTGATAATATATATATATATATATAAATGTAATATATATAATATATATAATATTAAATATTATATATATGTAAATGTTTTAAATAAATAAATATAACAATATACAATGATATTAGTCTATAATTTCTATTTTTGGAGTTATTATGATTTTGATTGGAAGAGATAAAGCAGAATATAAATCAATAATTAATTAAAGGCACTGAAATATTATTACTATATATATATTTCCATATTGTATTATTAATATATTGCATTACATTATAATATTATATGCATTCTCCTTCTATTTTTATCGGTTTCATACTATTTAATGCAATGCTTTTGATAGGAAATAAATAATCAATCCTTAAAGATGAATGAGCTAGCAGCCACAACTAGCGCATGCGCAGTGAACAAGACAAGAGAGTTAGGAGTCTGGAGGGGCGTGTCCTGAAAGGAGGCAATTTGCGTATGGGGGCGTGGCTAAGGCATTCTCAGCGATGACATCAATCAATTCTTCAAGATGAATGAGCTCTCAGCCACAATTAGCGCATGCGCAGTGAATAAGACAAGCGAGTTAGGAAGCTGGAGGGGGCGTGTCCTGAAAGGAGGCTATTTGCGTATGGGGGCGTGGCTAAGGCAGCACGGCGATGACGGTGCAAAAGAGCGAGAGCGAGGTGGGCGTGGCGAAAGGGGAGGCGGTAGGCGTGGCCAGAGCGAGGAGTGGGCGTGTCCGGTATATAAAGCGGCGGCGCC